TTGCCAGCCCTTTGAAAAGCAAGCCCGCTTCTCTGATTGATTCACTTTTTAATGAACTGGGAAAACCTGTGAACTTAAACCCTGACACCTCCACCTTCCTCCCATCCTACCCATCCCTGCAGCAATGGCCTGATTATATTTCAAGTTATTACGGGATTAATACAGCTGCCCCTGGTGCCTCTTTCCCCTGAACTTCATCAATAAAAGTTGTGTACTGCTCTTACTCCGGCTGTTTCAGCTTCTCCGTGGATCTCCCCATGCTACCCGTGATGTCTCAGCAAGGCTGTATCATATCAGCCCTTCAGAGCTGCCAACGCTGCTAGTGGTTAAAGCCTGCTCATGTCACGGCCTTGCATAAGCTGTGCGTATTTAAGAGGACATCTTGAGCTTTGCTATGCACGGCATCAGCTCGCTAAGTGGGTAGGGCATACTTAGCACTACTGAAAATAATGAAATAAGATAATCCACACGTACACATTAAAGAAAAAAAAAAAAAAGAAGAAGAAAAGAAAAAGATTCTGGCAGTGTTGTCTTGCTCTGAAACTACCAGAGTTATAAAAACTCCTCCACATAGACACTTTCAATAGAAAGAAAAAAGGCAGGGGGAGCAAAAGACCTGGGCCCAGCACAAATCCATTTTTCCCCCACGGCATTTCTTGATTCAGTACAAGCTCTAGGTTTACTTCTTTGTGTTGGCGTTATAGGTTTCCCTCCACCAAGAATGCTATTTTCTAAAAACATCATTAAAAATGTAATTAACTGACTTATTCTTTGGAAAGTCTGCAGTTGTTTACAAAAAAATTGCCACACAAGCTGCCACCTTCAACTGTGTTGAATCGGGAAGTTATGCTCTTGTTTACAACTGCGCATCAATTCCACAATATATTTAGTTTTGGTACAAGTTACATATAAAATTCTTACTGAGCTTAATGTTGCAGCAAATAACACATACAGTAAGCGAGTAGGATTTATCACTGGCTGTAATGTCACAGTACATATTCTAAATATATACGGTGAGTGATATATGCACATGCACATGCAAACAAAATGGAAATATATTTAGTTTAAGAAGTGATGAATTGTGTTTGCTTTCATTATTCTCATTTTGCATGTACGAAAATGGAGATCAAGCACATCCACAAAAGCGGTGGCTGGTTGGGATCGCATCCGAGAACTGGCATGCTCGCTGGTAAGCAGGCTGGAGAGGAACAGCACTTTGCCACCCACAGCACACGCGGGGCTTCCCTCAGGGGGGAGGGATGCAAACAAACCCCGTGGCAGTCACTGGATGCTCCCAGAAAGCATGCAACATCATCTAGCTCAAACGCCTCCCCAAGAAGTTCAAACATTTTTTAAAGATGCAAGTGGCAATATTGCCCTATAAATTCTATTTTTTCATTCTTCTTCATCTTTTGGTCTCTTTCCTAAACACAGAGGCCAGAAGGCTATGCTTAAATAATTCATTTACAAATTTTCAATATCTTTTTGAACTATAGCAATTAAACGGAAAATAGAAAAAAGCTCAGCATCCTGTTTGGATGTAATTAAAGGTATAATCTGTTCCATTTGAATACTCCAGTGCTTACCCTTCTTAAAACAACAAATAAGAATAGTAGCTCATTTGCAATGTGTTTGGTTTTTTTTTTCAAGCCATCTAAAAAGACTAACTGATGAAGCAAGAATAATAATTTTTAAATGTGGCATAAGCACAAAAATACCAGCTACAGCTTTCAAATGATTGCTGCAGATCCCAAGTCTGATGAGAGTTCAATAGCAAGGGGTATAAGCTTTATGGCAAAACACTGAAGTCTTCCACTATTTCGTATCAGCATCTTGCTATGGCTGATATAATTACCTATCAAATACATCAGTGGAATGACTATCAGAGGATATCAAAAAATACGTAAGTCGGATGCATATCAGCTCCGTCTTTTAGGGGCTGTTTGATCTCAAGGTTTTTTTGCAAGAATAAAAGACAAATACTGCATTCATTGCCCCTTTGTTTTCCATAAGCAGCCGATGATTTTACAGCACAATAAAATTAGACTATTATTGGCTAGCTTATGAGTTGTAGCTGGATCTTTTTCCTCCTACTGGACATTTCTCCACTGCTTCTCAAAGAAATTGAAGTCAGGTGTAAAGTTAATATCTGCCTTGTTCATTTATTCTTCTGTAAGCAATCAGGATTTCCCCAAATCACAGGGCAATCTCTTCCCTTTCAAGAAAGAATATAGGCCCTGTTCTCTCCATTTAGTTTAACAAAACAACTGGCAGAAGTTCAATGGAACCGATGATTATTCCGAGAGGTTACGGTGAACCACCGACGTTGTTAGCAAAAGGCTCGCTTGAAAGATCCCCTAAGAGGAAAAGTGCATGGATATTTCAAAATGTAATTAACAGCTTATTCCAACAACACGGGAAAGAAACAGCGACTGTGCTGGCTGCAGAGGAACCCGGCTGCATGGCACGGAGTGCTTCAGCAGCCACCACTCCCGTGAAAGGAAGGGACACAGCCAGCAGCAGCAGGGACGGTGCTGTGCCCTGCTCCCCAACACCAAGAGGCACTAGGGCTGGCCCCGTCTGCACGGTTGCCTTGTGTGCTGCTGCCTTTGCTGTGCTTGGTAGTGCAGATGGTGCTCTCATGGGCAGAGTCTTGGGGTCCAGGACCTCACTGGAGAGACTAACTTCTTTCAAAAGGTCCACTTTCTCTCCACTGTAATGCTCTCTCTCTCAGTTCCTTTGGGGCAGGAATTTCTCAAGCTTAGTTTTGGTCTTAATACCATGGTCTGAAGGTCTGTTTCAGTAAAATTGTTGAGCTTTTTTTTTTTTTTTAGCAAAGTGTATAGCAGTGACTAAGCAAAATAATAATTATTTTTTTACATTGTTTAACCATTTAAAAATAATTCAGTTTTCAAACTCAGTGTTTTTGTCAGCTGGGGTGTACATCTAACGTGGCAGGGAACAGATTTAAAAAAACAAAATGGTAGTTAAAATGCAGGAGTGATGGGAACATGGCACAGTGCTCTGAGAGACCTGTGTTTGACCAGTAAGTACAAGAGAAGTTAAAGCTCAAAGCTCATATTCTTTGAAGGTTATTCAGCACCGTTTAAAATTTCTAGCCATCCCAGCTGTACGTGCTTTGCTGTTTAAAATCCCCAACCCTTTGCAGAGCCAGGCCTGCAAAAGGGTTGGACAGCTGGGGACCTTCCTCCAGCTGTGGGGCCAGCAGACGTTGCTGGACTCTTTGCTTCTTCCCTGACCCAGCATGGCATGGCTGCTGTATGGCTTGCACTTCGCTATTGTTCTGCAACTTGCTGCTTTTCATACAGTAGCACTGAGAGGCCTCAGTTAAAACAACCAAAACACTAATAATAATAAAAAAAAAACGGCCTGTGGGTGCCAGGCTGTTGCTTGCTCTTCAGGAGAGAAGCCAAAGGTGAACAGAGGTGAAGGAGCACCACACGCCGCCTCACCAGGCGAAGGCTTAAACCCACGGCTATCATTTCCCAACCATCAAGCCGAACAGCCCCCTGCATGCCAAAAAACATTTTTGTGGACGTAACTATAGACATGCGGCTAAAGGCAACACAACAGAACCTGGCTCGTTAAAAAATACCCACAGAGCGTGGGGAAAAAATAAAAATCTTCAACACAGCCTCGTCTGTCTCCAGCAAACAGGGCTTGTTTCAGGCCCTGGGCTCAGGCACAGGCCCGAGCCACGGCGGGTGAGTGAGCTCCTGGCTGTCGGCCGTGCCGGTTTCGCGGAGACTCGCATGCAGGCATCGCCCTGCCCTTCACCACTGGCTGGGGCCTGGCTTGGCCGCCTCGCAGGTACTCGTGCCACCCCTTTGCCACCCGGCATGGCAGCCTGCCTGGCCGCCCCCGGCTGGGATGGCACAGCGGCTCTGGGACACGGGCCATCCACCCCCCAAGGAACATCTCTGAGAGACACCAGCCCTGCGAAAGAAGCCACGCTTATCTCATGCATGCCACAGGTGTGATGTCAGCCCCTCTGGCAAAGGAACGAGGATGTCTACAGCCTCCACCGTGCAAAAATGCAGGAACTGAAGTTAACGTGCCTCAGACTTTGTTAAAATATGGTGATAATTAAGAAATATAATTACCACTACAAAGTTAATTCCTCTTTGAGTTCTTACAAACAAGTTTTTAATTTGCACCGAGCATTTACATTTCAGATGCGCAGTCACCCAGGCGCAGCTGCCACGCGGCCCCAGGCTCTGCCCTGCACGGGGCCAGAGGCACTGTGGGTCCCCAGGGAGGACCCGCTGCCACCACCACTGCAGCCACCGCAGCCACCGCCGCCACCAAGGCCTGGACACAGCTGGTAAGATTGTGCGATTGCCTTAAACTGTCTCACCTGTTCTGTTGTACAGGCGTGAAAATAGCAGCCATGTCAGACACACGCCTGCTTTTTATTAAAAAACAAAAACAAAGAACTTATGAGGTAATTGATTGCTTTCTTCTAGTCTTTTATTAGTTGTGATTAAGGAGCTATAGTAGCCCTGTTTACATATCTCCAACAAGTCAGGACCTGCAGCGCGTTATTGGCTTGCGGCCCACAGCTCGCAGTCCATTCTCCACAGAATCAATCTGAAGTGGAAAACATCCCCGTAGGAAGCACGCACATCCCTGCATACACAAGAGCAGAAACCAGCAATAACTGCAGGCCCCGCATGCTGCCAGCCCAAGGCACGGGCCTGCTGCTGCCCGCAGTGCACTCATCCTGAGGGCTCGTGCCTTCAGCCCGACCGGGGATGTGGGTGAGCTGCTGCACTTCGCTGCCGCTCACAGCTCAGGCTCGGCGGATATGAACTGAGAGCTCCTCGCTGCTTAACATGCAGGCAAAGCACTACCAATCTAAAATGGCTGATCAGTAATACTTTAATTGCAGTTTCATAGAAACAAATTGCTATTTAATTGCAATAAGCTCTTCTGTGGCTTCGCTGGACTGACAATAGGCATACACCTGGTACTAAAAAGTAACAAGCGGCAAGGATGGCTATCTGGTAGTTCATGTAGGGTAGGCTGAGGCTGTGACACCGGTCCTGGAACACACCATTTCACACAAGAAATATAATCTTTTAAAAAATATATACATTTATGTCTCCATCTCAATTTCATTTACTTCACTAAAGCTGCTCAGAACATGGGTCCTTGGAAAAGCTTAACACTTAATACCAGCCAAAGAATTTTGATATTAGGTTTAATTTAAAATGATCTTTTGAAATGCCTGGTAGCAAGTCAAATTATGGTAGCATCAGATTTATTTTTTATTTTAGTATTTTTCCTAAAATTAGATGGTGCAAATTTTAACTGTGTTAACTAACAGGGAAAAACGGAAACAAACGCAGTGTGGTTAATATTCTAAAGATGTGACTTAATTTCATAGGCTTCATTTTAGTAAGACATTCTCATTTTATATTTCATAAGATACTGCATAACCTGTTAAAATATTTAAAGATAAATCATGTAGGACTGAAAAGACAGTATCTTGTTGCAAACAGAATTTGGTTTGGAAAGGCTTAATGTCCCACTGCCTGCCAGGATGCGTAAATCTCATAACTAGACAGCTGGATAGGTAAAAACATTAAACCCATTTAGAGGGCAATCTTTTTACAAAATTGTTTCATTAATAAGAGTGACAATTTATATGATTGAGACATTTAGATGCAGTATAGACAGAGCATTTTATCCAGGTTCACCAGGATGATTTCAGATTAGTAATATTTCCTTTGATTTTTTTTTAACAGCATTCATTTTTGAAAGTGAGGGAAGCTCTTACTGAATGATTATTTGTATGACTTTTCAGCAGCACTAAATGCAGGAGGTGTATTTCAGACTCAACCTAGCAAATGCATGTGATAAAAGGTGAACAAGTACACATTTCTCTTCACAGATCTAAAAAAAAAGTCATTTTTCACATATGGACAAATCTAAGTGTTTCCAGTAGCCTTCTACCCACACCTAACATCCCCATTACAGCCTGTTTTATTGTCTGAAATGCCTCTGGTTTCAAGAAAGTGTTTTACCTAAAGGAAGAATACTACTTAAATAAGTTCTATTGTATATTCATAGCTCCATTAGTCCTCCTCCAATTTAGCACATCAAAGCAAAGGCTTCATCACTTGCATGTGGATTATGCTAACATGAGTGACATTTGTAATCTTATAGGTCTGCAACTTAAGAAATGCTTTTAAAGTAAGCTATTAAATAGGTAGCTGTGCTTTACAAACGAGTCATATAATAGTTTATTTAAAGCCGTTAATGAACTTCAACCTCTACATCACTAAATGCTATACTACATTACTTACTAGAAGTTATTAGCTATCTTCTTAACACTTCTAGGTTATATTGGACAACCAAAAATCTGTACATGTTAGATTTAAACACAGTACCTTGAGTGCTTATACTGAAAGAATATAAAAAGATGTCTGCAGACTCACTAATACTTGAATTCTATATTCATATGACTTCAAGTGTCTTTTCAAAGATATTCAAGCAGCACAATTTGCAAGACTCTTACCTAAAGACTTTAATGCCAGATCAAAAACCTTACAAACTTATTTTAAAAATATACGTAAGTGCATTTAATTAAAAAAAAAGACATACATAGCTTCAGTAGTTTTATTACTTTATATGTTATGCGAGTGTTCTTTTGTCTTTACTGTCTAATACTGTACACTACATCATTTTCTTGTCTCTACAACAGTCCAATTTTTGCACAGGCACTGAAGTGTTAAAGAAGAAATTCAGCAGACCTCCAGTATAGTAGAGATCAAGAAGTAAGAACTGAAAAAAAAGATCTGCTGTTGATTTAGACCGACAAATCTATAATTCAGCTTTTTGTGTATCAGCAGCACAACAAAAGTAAGTCAAGCTCACGCCATAACCAAACAAAGCTAAACAATGAACATCTCCTTAAAAGCAGAATTAAAAAAAAGAAAACATAATGATGATGTATTTCAAATGTATTAGTCTCCAATAAAAGTCGAATAGTTGGTAATATTGATTTGCTATGAATTGCAGCAGACACACATTCTAGGTGCTTGCAGTTTCCTGATTGAAGGCATTCAATGCACAGTCATAGATTCACATTAGTATTCTTGCTATAAGAATGAAAAGTGGGGATTTTTTTTTTCTCAAAAGTTATTCTACACAGATCTACCAATAAGTAGCTGAAGGGGAAAACCCAGTAAATGAAGTTGTTCCCTTTCTAAGCTTAGAGGAAGTTTTCTTGCTCTTTTGTGTCTTTCTTTCCAGAGGACAGATCATGTTTGAGATCAGATTGCTCTCGGAAATAGTCCAGGAAGCGTGTTTTTCTTTCCTTACCAGTTTTAAAGTTAAGTCTCTTGCCTCAACAAACTCAACTTTATGTTGTTCAGGTCAGAATAGCTATTGTATCCCTTTTTATGAATACTCAATTCTATTGCTCAGTGTGAAGTACAGCCCTTTTGTTGCTTTTATTTTTATTATTATTCTTTGACCTCTTATGGTCTATACGTACACACTCATGTTTGCACTCTCACAGACACATGCATACCCCTAACAGTTCTGCGGGAAAGAACTGGATAGAAAGAGACCACAATACCTATAATACATACCATAATTCACTGCAATATGAACTGTAATAGATTGTTTGTTACCAGAAGTAAGAATCTCATTGAAAAATAAAGATCATTTTGAAGCAGTGCTCTGTATCCTTGCCAAGAGTAACACAGTAGTAGTTTAACAGGTTTTTTACTGGCATAAGACAAAAAAGAAAAAAAAAGCTATTTTTAAAGGTAACTGACAATTAAGGTAAGTCATGACTATGTAAGATTTAGTTTCAGAGTAATGTTTTGAATGTAGTTTCTTTTTTTTTATTTTAAATGAAGCAAAGTTTTAAAACCCATACTCAATTCAGTGTTTTTTGTTTTACTTTTTTATTATTTAAATACACCATACTAGAGCAAATGTCTCTGAAAATATCACAAATAAAAGATTTTTCTTCATTCAGCAAATTAGAAGTAAGTGAAAATTTCTACACAGTAGCTGCTATGAGCCTGACTTTTTTTTTCCTTTTTCTCTTTTCTTTTTTTTTTGCCATGGGAAGTAGCAACATTAGGACAAAAACACTTACATGCATACATACATTGTATTTTACAGAGATACAATAAAAGTGTTTGTGATAGAATATCACAAAAGCCACATCTTCCCTTTATCTCATGTTCAGTTTGATTGAAACACATTTCCTTACAACACTTAAATATACAAAGAGCAAATAGAATGTTGTTAAGGTAAAACACAGGGTACAAACTGGCCAGTGCCCTGCTAATTGTTAATGAGGGTAGAAAGCAGATTTCAATGCTTCTTTTAATTAGCTTCATTAGTCATCTTCCCCACCCGCCCCCCCAAAGATGTCCTCCGGTGGATCTTTTTTCATTTTCTCTACAGTCTCCCATTAGCCCAGGTTCATGGAGTCCTTAATGTTCATATTCAGTCATTTTAATACACCAATAAATGTGGGAAGGGCAATCAAGAATAAAGAAGGTGCAATGGTATGGAGCTGGCACTGATGCTAGCTACAAAGGTGACTTGTCTACTTGGAGACATGGGATCCATCTGTGATGAACAAAATTTGAGATGAAGGCACGCATTCTGCATTACTTTGACCTTTTAGCAGACCTGCAAGAAATAAAAATGGGTATCTTAGCTAGAATACTAAATTTGAGATAGGAAACTACAACATGACTGCTTTTGTCTTTTCCTTACTAATCTCTTTTTTATTAGATTACTTTCCAACTGTGACTTGACTAAGGCTTTCTACACTACCCATTCATACTGCTAATGTTTCAACTTCAAATAGCATAAAGCAAATATTTTCTGCAGTTTCACTACTAAAAAGAGCAGACAGTAAAGAAAAAAACATGACAACAATAAATAAATGTACCTTCTGGTAGCAAATCATACCGTGAATAAGGTGGCTTTTCTGGGCCCCCTTTAAAAGGGAAGAAACATTATGCCATGCCTTTGAAGAAGCTAGTAATATGATCTTATAATTGGAAGAAATAGTGTGTAAAGCAAATAAGAAGTACAGCCAATATCCTCCCAAGGCAACTTTGGTTAATATGCTGCATT